TCAATATTTTCCTAAAGCCCCAATGACTACGAGGACCACTCAAGTATATTTGTTTCAGAGGCAAGATGTTTCGATTGCCCGATCTTTGTACTTGGTTAATTTTTCAAATTCTTTATTTTCAGTTTGGATCTGGAAATTCTTCACATTGGTTTGGAATGCTTGTTCTTGTGTGCAGCAAAAATCAAGCTTTTGGTTTATTGCTTAAAGGTGCCTAGTTTTAGCCATGTCCATATTGAATTATTATCATGCTTCCCATCAATATTTCTCAGGTGTTGTACATGTAGTGGCTAGGGTTAGGGCTATTTTTCCAGCTGTTGAATTCTTCCAACTCTTTCAACTCTGGCATTCCCTGGAATTGCAATGTCAATGATCTGACATTTCTTCATTTTATTACTACTACATCTGTTCAAGGTGTCCATCAGTTTGATTCCAGAAATCCCACAATATCTTGACTTCCTCATTTTCTGACATCTTCTTTACCTGATGTTCCCATGGGGTTTTGGGGACTGGCAAGTTATATCTTTTGCATAATGACCAGTGCACTCACTAACTTTGCCACTCTGTCATATTATTGTTATTATACTGCTTCTTCTTAATGGTGCCCAGTTTTAGCCATGCCCATGTTGAATTATTATCATGCTTCCCATCAATATTTCTCAGGTGTTGTACATGTAGTGGCTAGGGTTAGGGCTATTTTTCCAGCTGTTGAATTCTTCCAACTCTTTCAACTCTGGCATTCCCTGGAATTGCAATGTCAATGATCTGACATTTCTTCATTTTATTACTACTACATCTGTTCAAGGTGTCCATCAGTTTGATTCCAGAAATCCCACAATATCTTGACTTCCTCATTTTCTGACATCTTCTTTACCTGATGTTCCCATGGGGTTTTGGGGACTGGCAAGTTATATCTTTTGCATAATGACCAGTGCACTCACTAACTTTGCCACTCTGTCATATTATTGTTATTATACTGCTTCTTCTTAATGGTGCCCAGTTTTAGCCATGCCCATGTTGAATTATTATCATGCTTCCCATCAATATTTCTCAGGTGTTACACATGTAGTGGTTTATTTTTCCATCTGTTTATTTTCAAAATATTGTTTCTTATCTTGAGCCGAAATATTCTCTATTTTCACTGACTTAAGTAATTTTTCTCTCCATGTACTGATATAATCATTTAGGCTTCTTTTTCCCTCCTCTACTACCTGCTGTATTTGCAGTAATCCATGGCCTCCTATTTTTCATGGTAAATATAATCTGTCCATTCTTTATATCACTGGTCCCAAAATATTTATGAATCACGGACTGGTTGGTGGGCAGGGTCTGTGTGCAGGGTCGGAGCACCCCTGCACTCACAGGTGAGCAGGGTGCACTTGTGCACATGCACAGCAGGGTCCACTCACGGAGGAGTGTTCACATGGAGAGAAGCACTCATGCGTGTGCACGGAGGGGAGGAGTGCACTCGTGTGTATGAAGGGAGGGGCGATTTTGGACCCAATCTATTATTCCCGCTGGGTATATAATTACTGAAACAGCCCAGGTATTTATGGTTTTAATTGTATTTCCACCATTTAATTTTGACTTTAATATTTTCCTCAGTCTTTTGTTGTATTCCCTTTCTGTCAGTTCTTTAACTTTTGTGTGCAGGATGTTATCTGCTTCTAGTATTCCAAGGTATTTATGATTTTCACCACTTGACAGTGATTTTATAATATTGCCATTTTTCAACTTTATTCCATCTAGTTTTTGGATCTTGCCATGTTGTATAGAGCTGCAAAGTTGTCAATTCCAAATTTCATTTCAATATCTTCACTAAATATTTGCACTGTGTTTAGCAGTGATTCTACATGGAATTTTTTCAAATAGTTTTACGTCATCCATGTATAACAGATGACTGCTTTTCCTGCTTGTCCTGAAATATGGTAGCTCAATCCATTTTTATCTAAAATTATTGAAATGGGGATTGGTGAGATGTTAAAAAGCAGTAGGAACAAAGAATCCCCTTGAAATAGTCCTCTTTTGACACCAATTTCCCCAATTTGTTCACCATAGGCCATTAAAACAGCTTTCCATTTCTCCATTTTTTCTTGAGGAACTTTTGAGTATTTTTACTTATCCCCAAAAATTTTAGTCAGGTGTTAATTCAGCTCCGTGGCACTGAGTCAAATGCCTTTTTATAGTCTATCCAGGCCATGTGAAGGTTTGGTGTTTTTTGGTCCTTTTGCCTTCTTTAATAGCATTTTATCAATAAGCAGCTGATCTTTCATGTCTCTTGACTTTTTAAAGTTCCCTCTCTGTTCAGTTGGGAATAGGGAGTTTTCTGTCAAATAATTATATATTGCTCTTACTATACAAATCTCCTGAGAGGAGCTTGAACATTGTTGGAAGGCATGTAATTGGAAAATAATTACTGGGTTCATTTCCCTTTTGATTATCTTTTATTATCAGAAATGTGTGGCCTGTTGTCATCCAATCTTCAGTTGTAGGATTTTGAAGCAAATGATTAAATTACATTGCTATATGTTGATGGAGACTTGTTAAATGCTTTAACTAAAATCTGTGTAGCTCATCTGGACCAGGTGCACATCTGGACCAGGTGCACTCCATTTTTTCACAGCATTTACTTTAACTAGAGAGTGGGGTATTAAAAATATGAATCCCCACACACACAGATGGACATAATGACGGTCCAGCCCCCTGGGGCCACACTGTCCACACTCCTTCTGCTATTGCCACAGGCTACAGGCTCTCTTCCTATTGCTCCAGAGCTCGCAGTCTGCAAGCCACTCAACGACCTTGCAGCGAGGTTCATTCTTTTGCCTCCTGTCAGGAGTGGCTTGCAGACCGCAAGCTCCAGAGCAGTCTAATGAATAGACAGGTGGACTCCAGAAACCTGGGTTCAAATCCTTGCTTGACCGTGAAAACCCAGGGTATCTGTGGCACTAGTAAATAATAATAATTGCATGCCATCAGGTCAATTTCAACTTATGGCAATCCTTTCCAGAATGCCACCACCCTCTCCACCACTTTGCTCATGAAAGAAACATTGGTGACGGGCCTATAATTGCCAATTTCATCCGCTGCCAAATTCAGTTTCTTTCTTATGGGCCTAATGAGATAGGAACCCTGCCCTCAAGGAAAGACCCATTTATTATTGCTGTGGCCCATTCTGTTGTTATCGGCCTGGCTGCTTTGATTAGCCAGGCTGGGCAAGGGTCAAGGGAGGAGGAGGAGGCTTGACAGCGATCAAGCACCTTGGCCACAGTGTCAGGCGTTACAGGCTGAAAGGTGTAGAAAGTTACCGGGCAAGACATAGCACTGGACATCTCAGCTCGACTCACTGTATCTAAACAAGGAGAGAAGTCCCGGCGGATGGCCTCCACTTTAGATTTTAAAAATGCTGCAAACTGGTCCGGTGAGATACTAGGAGGAGGCCCATCACTCAGACCAGTTCCGGATAGGTCGCGAACTATACAGAATAATTCCGCCTGCTGGTTGGAAGCTTCGCGTATCCGGTTAGCGAAGTATGTACGAGCGGCAGCCTTTACCTTAGCCAGGTAAAGGTTAGTAGCAACCTTGACAGCTATCCAATTGTAATCCGTCGGGTCCTTCCTCCACTTGCGCTCTAGCCGTCTCCTAAACCGCTTCAGCACCCAGAGGTCCTGGTTAAACCAGGGCGCCGGGCGGACTCTGCGTTGGAGAGGGCGTTTAGGTGTGATCGTGTCTATAGCCCTGGAGGTGGCGGTGATCCAGCCATCAACCGAGCCTTGACAGAAGTGCCTGTGATGAGATGGGTTATAGAAGCCATAAGGTAATTTCTTAATGGGATTTGTAGTCATAGAAATAGCCAGAAAGATCCATTCTTGGCCTGTGTATTCTAATGGAAGTTTCCAGATGCTGTTTACTGTCACAAGAAATCCTTGTTCTTATCTAGTCACCTAGGATACGGAATTCTAAACATTCCATTCCTACTGAAGTCTAAACATCTTAGCCGTGGAACCAAAACAACACCTGTGTTCTCATGGGAATGGAAGGGAGTCTACTGAAGTCCAAACAACCTAGCCGCGAATTCAAAACAACACCTGTGTTCTCATGGGAATGGAAGGGAGTCTACTGAAGTCCAAACAACCTAGCCGCGAATTCAAAACAACACCTGTGTTCTCATGGGAATGGAAGGGAGTCTACTGAAGTCCAAACAACCTAGCCGCGAATTCAAAACAACACCTGTGTTCTCATGGGAATGGAAGGACTGAGAGAGATAACTACTTCTTCCTGATTGGTTGTCAACGGAAAAGGAAGAAAGGGGGGTTTGTAAGCAGAGAAGTAAAATGCAATTTTGCAGAGGGAGAGAAGAGTTCTTTTTCGCATTATGGATTATTGACAGAGTTCTTTTTCATCTCATGGATTTCTAAGATCTTTTCCAATATGGATTTTTAAGACTTCTTTTCCATCATGGATTTCTAAAAGGGACTTTCTTTTTTGCCTTATGGATTTTAATGGACTATGGTTTCTTAGATGGACATTGGAGTTCCTGGAATTCTTTTAAGATGCAGTTTTCAAGTAGCTAGGGGGAAAGCAATGCTTTTCCTTCTTTTTCTTATCTAGTGATTTTTTATTATAATTTTTCTAGCTGGAGTTTGTTAGAGTTCTAACTGGATAGTTATGGAAATGTCTTTGATTGCTTTGCTTTTGCAACAAACTGAATTATTTTTTAAATCTTAATTTTTCTAATAAAACAAATATACCAAAGATCTTTTGTTTGATCTCCTGAACAGACTAACTGCTACCAAATACTTAATGAATACTTTAAATTCTATCAGGCCACGGAACTAGCTACCTTGAGTCCAGTATTTTCTTGAGTACTGAGAGATCTTAATGACTCTGAGGCTCATGGTTATATTTTGGTTTCTCAATGATTTTTAATTGGAATAGACTTGGGAAAAGGTGCTGGTGGGACAGCCTGGTTGAGACTGGGACTCATCTCAACTTAAATAGGGGTCAACCAGACCTGGAACCTCTCTATTCTGAGCTGTTTATTCTAGGAGAACAGATAAGCTTACAACGACTGGACTAAATGTCAAGGGAATCTTAGGATGGATGCAACTTGATAGCACATAAACTAACAACTGTGGGACAGATGAGTTGTAATGGTGCATCTGAAATCTGATAGGCACAATTAGCCACAGTGGTGTGGCTGTAGAAAAGGGTACTGTGTATATATTTATAGCGGGAGCTCACCAAAGGGAAACTGCATGGAAGCAGCCAGCCAAATTTGCCAGGAAGAACTTTGAAGCACTAACCCCCAAGGACTAGCTTTTGCTAAGTGTATTAACTATTATGATTCAAATATTTTCACTGGCTCATTTACATGATTCTTCAATCTAGATGACCATTACCATAATCTACTCCTGGTTTGCAAGCTAATTTAACTTGAATCTGCAGATCAATGTCTAAAAGGGACTGAGAGGGCTGGCTATTTTGATGCCAATACAGGCACAGTGGGAGGGGGAGGAGACTAACGGTCTATTCTTTAAGTTCTAGAATGTTCCGAAGCTCTGCTCATGCATGCTACAAAACCCATATGTGTGATTCATGGAGGCCACGAAGAAGAACCATTACTATTTAAATATAGTCACTGGCTCATGTACAGGATTCTGCAATCTAGATGGCCATTACCGTAACCTACTCCTGGCCTGCAGGCGGATTTAACTCGAATTGCCGGATCAATGTCTTCTTTCTTCATCTTGTTGAGCAAAGAGCAGTTTTCTTTGAGAGAAGAACATACAAAAAGAAAAGAAAGAAACAAAAAGAGGACATTGAGCATTTAAGACATCTTTCAAAGAGTATTTTTCTCAAGCTTCACCCTGAGTTCCTTTAAAGAGTAACTTTCCAATTTCTGACCCTCCCAAAAAGGTATTTACTACTCTCTTCTTTCCTACTCATTTCTGCTTTTTT